CCCCCATGCACCCAGGAGCAGTGTCGGTGTTCCCACCAGCATTGCCATCTCGTGACGTTCACTGTCAGTCTCTGCCTGGCTCGGTGCTGTAAATCCAGTTGTGCCCAAAAAATTCAGTCAAGTTCAATAAAGCAGAAAAGTGGTTTTTCAGGGTCAGAAACAGCTTTTGTCCTCGGTGGATCTCATACTGCCAGTAGGGCTCGAGGTGCAGAAGCACCTGTGTTTCGAGAAGAACGACTTTGTTGGCTTAGCTTGACGTAGCCACGGGGGGTGAGCTGAGTGCCGGCGGCAGAGCGCTCCTCGCGCGGCACACGGCTGCTCTGCGGCGCAGACCGTGCCCTGACTGCCGCCGTGGTGCCCGTCGCTGCCGGGAGTGTTCCGGTGGGGCGGTGGAAGCTGGAGTAGGACCACCAGACCTCTGTAATTCTACCGACAGTCATCAGGTAGTAACACCTATGGCTTGAGTGACAACCAGCACTGCAGGTGTCGGACTCACCAGGGGCATCTCTGGAAGTGTTGAACACAGTCGGGGCACGGACGTGTGCGAGTTCAGCCCAGGCACAGCGTGTTCTCCTCACCTTTGGCCCACTGGTTGGTTGTGTTTCGGCATCTTCCAAATGCATTTCACGTCCTTCACGTGAGCGAAGGCTTTCTCTGCGATAAGCAACTTTTCCAAGTGGATGTCATTGTGTGAAAGAAAACGCTCTGGCTGGATTTCACTGTCCTACCTGCCACTCGGTCTCATCCCTGTACTCCTGGATTAATGCTCCAAAATAACCACCACCTCCTCACCTCTCCTTCTCTCCCACTTACGTTCAGGTACACTGTACTCTTAAAAAAAAAAAAAATAGAGAAAACATCATATTGATGTTTCTATGGGTAGTATTGTGGTAAGGCCTTTCCTTGGGCAGCGAGTCCTGTCTGAGGAATTAGGGCTTCTCTAAGCCTCGGGGCACTGGGGTTTTGTTCTGTCTCTTGCTGAACTGGTTCAGTGTGGGTTTGGGGTAGAGTAAGATGGTATTCCCTTGCACAGGGAGCAGTACCGTGTGGTTGGAGTAGGTTGTAGTGCACTGTCACTGACGAGAACCCAACAGCACTATAGCAATGAGCGTTCACTTCCTGGAACGCAGCAGAAATGTGACTCAGCAAAGCCTGTACTGGTTTTCAGTTCCGCACGCTGGTGTGGACCAAAAGCACAACCTCGTTACCAAACCTGATGCGCAAAGTCTGTAACATAATATGAATGTAAAGTGTCGGGGGGAAAAAAACCAAAAAATTTACCTTTTCTTCCCCGAAGCTGGGTATGAAAACTGATGTGCTAAGATGTATTCAGGGACCTGCTGCCTGCCACGACGTCGTCGCGCCGGCAGAACGGACGAACCGTTGGCGCGGCCGGCTCGTTCGCGGCAGTGCCGAGTTAGCCGGCGAAGAGGCACTGCTGGCCGTGGTTATTAAGCCAGAATTAATTAACCTGACGGGCCACGTTTTTATTTCAGTAACTCCCGTGGTACAAATTCTTGAAATCGATCCATAGTACTTGAAAATACGTGATTTTACTGATATTTTTCCAATTCTGTCAGCTCGGGTTTTGTAGCAGCACACTTGCACAAATAAACTCGTTCCGAGTCGGTCGGTTGAGGCGTTGGCATGGCAGGAGTGGCTTTTTCTGGTCGGTCGAGCAGCGCGGCGGCGACCGGCACTGCAAGGCTGCGGCGGCGCCGGGAGCTCTTCCTGCTCCATGCTTTGCTGCCTCTGCTGGTGATTAACATTTTGTTCTTCTTGTCCTTTTTCCGTCTCCCTTTGAGAGTCTTTCTTCTTCCTCCCGAATATACAGTTAAAATACTCCCAGCTCTCAGCCGTTTGTGCCGGTTTTTGGGTACTACAGAGGTGAGTAGGAGTCATTTTAAGCAGTTATCCCACGTGTTTTATTTGTAACTAAAAGTTTGTCAGGTGTCGTTCGTGATTCTCGTCCTTCAGGCTCAGCTCGCTCTGCGCAGAGCAGCGGGATCCAACTTCCTCCATTGCTTTCCTTTCTCTCCTAGGAATCTTTTTTCTTCATTTTCTACCTTCAGTTTGGAACGTAAACCTTGTGAAATAAAATGTAAGTTTACATTTCATATGAGCCCGTAAGTTGGTTGTGCTTTCATGCTGCTTGAAATGTTTTGTGGTTTGTTTGGGTTTTTTTTATATGAGGTTTTAACATTTACAGCAGCATTTGTAAAATGTCAGCGGGTAACAGCCACTGTTAAAAAAGAAAAGCAGAGTTTTGTTAAGGATGGGGGGAAAAACCCAACCAAAAAACCCAACAAAACAGACAAAGGGATCAACTTTGCTTTTTATTCCAACTGTGCTTAAAAAGAAACACCCGCTCGCATCAAATGCCGCTGTCAGACAGCTCACGTGGCACGCGGGTGTTTTACCTGGAGGCATT